TATTTAGTACAGTTCTTCATTTGTGATTCTGTACCATCAATCCAAAAAGTTTGAAGAAAGATGGTCCTTGGTAACACCTACATGCTTCATTTGCTCATTTTTAACCATCGATCTGAGAAGGCAGTTGTATACAGCTGGCAGTCTAGATATTTGTTAATATTATAAGTAAACTCTAAGTTATGGCTAATTTAATACATTAGAGTTGTCACACTCACCAAGTGTAGGCTAGTACAAATAATTTTGTGAGGGTAGGGGTAACAAAAATGTACTCTCTAAGCATGTCTCTGAAGTTCTGTTACGAAACTTATGCAAAGTAAGTTTCGTGACAGAACTTTTAAATTAATGTATTATGGAAATTTTGGCATTTGCTTACTTTTAGTACTGTGCCACTTTAATTATTACAATGAATAAAAGTTTTGACATATTTGTTCAACAAATTCAACATGTCATATGGGTTATATAATTAATTTGCTTAATATTATTTTATAAAATAAAGTGGATAATTCCTTTATATACAAGGTCTGTCTGGAAATCCTCCAGCCATTTTGAATATATTGAGAACTGGTTGCATGCCTTTGATGTAACTTGCCAACAAAATTCAAAGAAGGATCTGTAATGTAATCAATCCTGACCAGGCATCTTGGCTTCAGTCACTTTCTCACTGATGTGACATGGCTTCCCTCTGTCTTTTCTACAAATATTTTCATAGCAACTGTTCTGATGTGCTTTTTTCTCCTGGTGTCTTTACTACATGAATTTAAGCATGCTACAAGATTGGCAGCTAGACTTCATCATTTTACAGTTGAATTAGCTAGATGCAACTGCCACTTCTATTCTAATAGTTTCCTTTCTCGCACTTCTAACCCATTGAACACACCTTCTAATTTCTTGCTTCCCTACCAACTACAATCTTCAAAAATTTAAATGCAACATCATATGCCATCTTCTGAACCGTATTTCTTTATTATCCTTTCCTCACTTCTCATCACTATAATTTTCTCATTCTCTTTCATTCCCTGTAATCCCTTGTATCTTAGTGGTATCATCATCTTGCTTGGGGTGAAATGATAAAAAATAAAGCCAAAGAGAATCTACTCCATTTATGTGAACAGACACTCTCTTTTAGATGTTCTCAGTTGATAGGGATCTATTGAGTGAGCTTGTGTAATGTGCATCTGTCTTATTCATAATGGTCTCTCATGCAGGGCTTTTGGTAAAATATCACCTCACTTCGGATTTGCCTGTTCACCTACAATCCATTCTCCCCCTTTCACCCTTATGAGGATTTTATATGTTATCAGTATCAACGTGTGATATCATCTTGGCAAGATATCTCATCAGCTACACCAGGACAATCATTGCTTTCATAACCTACATCACCTTTTATGAATTGTCTTCAATTCATTGCCCCAAAAATATAGAACAAAGAAATTTATCCTAAAATGTTTCATCAGGCATTCTAGAGTGAAGAAATGTATTCCAGATATTTCATCAGCTTCAATCAAGAAGTTAAACTTTTTATAAGGATTAAACTCAATTTTTATAATTTGCAAGATGCTGCTGTTGTTTTCCTTACTTATAGTTATAATCATATTCCCAAGCCAATGGCCTGAAGATTGCATTTAAGCATAAAACAGATTGTCACCACTCGGTGTTGACCCCTGTGTCCACTTATTATATATATATATTTATTATAAATTAATTGATTTAAAATATGTTTTTTTTTTGCTACACATGGTTAGAACTGTGTAGCAAAAAAAAAAAAAATTTTAAATCAATTAATTTATAATATTAATGCTCTGTAAATTTACATTGAGCACTATTTTGTAAAATAAAAATAAAAATATCTATAAGAACACCGGATTATATATCTTACTGTTCTTTCTTTTTATTTATACATACATACATACACATATATGTGAAGAAAAATATACTGAAAAAACAAACAAAAATCCTAATATGCGATTATGCTGTTTTAATGTTAAATGTCAACGTCGGATTTTTGTTTGTTTTTTCAGTATATTTTTTTTCATACTGTCGGATCTATATCCATATATTTGCTTATATATATATATATATATATATATATATATATATATATATATATGCAAATAATCTCCAAGTCATTATCTTTAATCTTATAGAATACTTAAAAAGAAAAGCTTTCTTGTGGCTTTCATGATTATTACTGAAATTTTTATGGTAATGAGATTTCAAACACCTAGAAATAATTTTAAGTGACTGCCAAGTTTCAAGACCTCAGACAGCAACCACTTTATGCAGGATATTTACTCTGCCTTTTTTTTTTTTTTAACGTTTTTATGCTGGGTGCAATTCCAATGATATCAAAGTGTTTCTGGAGATTCTTTGGAATCAACCCAAGAGCTCAAATGGCAATTAATACAAGATTGACATGTACATTCCACATTCTCTTAACATCTACCCTCAACTCTGAATAGTTCACAACATTTTCAACTTCTTTACCTGCAATGTAGTGATGCCTAAAGCATGCTACATCTATTAACAGACACTCATGGGAACTTTTTTTGATTGGTCTAGTGTGTTCAATAATTCTGGCAGTAGGATTTGTGAAGTCCCATTATTATTATTATTATTGCTCTACCATTTCCACTGAGTCCAAGTACACACTGCCCGACTCAGAGATTGTCATTATGTCACCAAATTCACAAACTCATGCTTTAATCCACAAGGCTATTGTCACTGTAGTGAACTCGGGGCCTTAAAACTAACCTGCCAATTGATTAGTGCTGCAATTGCCATGTTTTGATATACACCTGAGGAAGGCTGGAGGGCATAATGACTAAAACATTGTAATAACAACAACAAAGATGAGGACAATAGTCTGAATATAAAGAGTGTATACTCAATGGATTTACTGAATCATGTTTCTTTAATTTTGGAATATAAAACTGGATATTTTATAATATTTAACTCAATCCCACAATTCAATAGAGAATTCATATTTATTTTTACAGATAACTCCTTAGTTGTTTGTATAATTTACAATAATCAATGTTAATGATAGAATGGTAATACTGGTAGAATTTATTTAGAAAATGCATAAAAACATTTATTTGCACTTATAATAACACAATAAAAGCTAAAAGCATACAAAATAGATAATAATGGTTCCATCATACATTTAGTGTGTGAACAGATATAATGATTACTATAATAATTTTTTTTTAAATGTTAATTTAATTCTTATATATTTTTTTTGCTAGAAAATTCAAACAAATTATTAATTTCAGATTGATACCAAGAGCAAAGATCAGAAAAAGGACAAATTACCCAAATGGAGTAAAAATGAAATTTTTGTAAGTAATGAAAGATAAAAGAAAATACATGTTCCTTATAATGTGTGCATGGAATGTGATTGTTTCTATGATGTTTAAATTAATATTTTAACATTATAATTTTCTACAGTCATCATTGTTTTAGAACACAATTTTGGGTAAATGCAGATATTTTTGTGATTTCTTTTTATTTTACAGCAAAGTTTTGAAACTACTTACTTTCAAATATTAACTATTGTGTTCATGAAATATACAAAAAATATCGAAAAAAAATTTATGTGTAAAAAAAAAAATAACATGTTCAAGTTCACTTCTAAAGGATGCTTATCATTGTTAATGTGTGGCTTCTTGCAGCAAAAAAGTGTGAAACTCATGAGTTTGCTGATAAACTATGGCAAGAAAAAGTTGAAAATGTAGTTTCATGGTATCATATGCTATTTTCTTATATTTTTGCCCATATTAAAAAGCTTTGAAGATTACACAAAATCTTTCTGTAAAATCATGAATTTCATGTGTTTTTAGTTGCAAAAGGTCATGCAAATATCTCATGTTTTGTAAAGTAAATAATCAGCAAAAATAAAAATAGAGTATATAAAATAAATTATTTTATGGGAAGTAATTTGGGAAAATAATGTAAAATACAAGTAATTGCAGACTGATGTTCTGAGAATTTTAATGAATGTCACAGAAATATCAAACAAATACTAATACAAACATTAATAATTGATAATATTTCATGTAAAAAAAATTGAATATTATCACTGAGAGTACTAATGTACATAAAGTAAATGGCAAGTTATCAAGCATTCAAGGAAAATGAAGATACATAGTTAAATTTGAATTGCTTTAATTTCACAGCCAAATTCATAAGGCAGCTACCATGGAAAGGCAGAATTAATGAAGATGGGAAGTTGAAGTTTGCTGTAATCTTATTCTGTATTTCCAATTTGCACTACTTACTAACAATCATAGAATGACAGTTTGAAAGATGCAATAAAAAGCTATTGAAAGAGGAAATAAATACTACTGAAAAATTAAATGATAATTCTTCAACTAAGAAATTCAAACAATGTTACAGCAGTTATTTCACTTGAAGAAATGACAATCTGAGAGTTGTGATAAAAAGCAACAGTAATAAAATGTAAGACAAAAAAAATACTACTAATAATTATTTTTTTAATCATTTCACTCCAAGCAGGGCAATAAAGCCACTAAGATGCAAGTGGTTACTGAGTGTGAGAGAATATGAAGAAAAGAAAACATTATTAAAGAGAGAGAACAATAAAAGGACAGGAATTAAGATAACAATTGACACTGCATTTAAATTTTTGAAGAGCAGACTTGACTGGAAAGCAAGAGGCCAAAAGAGAGTTCCACAAGAGAGAAGTGTGGGAGAAAATATTGTTGACATAAAATTTATGTTTACATCTAGCAATTTCAGTTGTAAAATGATGAGACCTTGCTGCCAATCTAGTACTGCATTTCAATTCATAAAGAATTTCTAATTATAATTATAGGTAAATCTGAAAATATTTGACTATATAATATACCAAAATGTAAATAGTGTAGCTTTTTGCTGTATTCAAGTTATTTCCCTTGCAGAAGCAATTTATGCATATATTTAAAAACTTGCATATGAAAACCTGATATACAGATTTGATTAGAGTGAAAATTAGAACTTACCAAATTACCCATAGCAAAATAGTTGTTATCCTAAAATCAGACTTTAGTGTATCTAATAAACTTCCACGTTTCACATTTTCTGTCTGCAAAGAAAAAATGATAAATTTTGAGAAGCAAATAAAATCTTTAACAAGTTTTAGGAAATATCTCACAGTTGACAATATCTGACAGACTGCAATTCTAATTCTAAGAATACAATTTATTATTAATCTGAGGGGTTAAGAAATAGAGTCAGCTATCTAATTGTGTGTATCACTCCTCTTTGTCTAAATAATGATGGTAACACAATATAGTGTGGAGTATACAAGGTGTAAGAGTCATTGTGTGGGTATATTTACTCAGGGACTTCCCAAGGCTGTTTTTAACCAAATTGTGATTTCTGGGTGTGGCTGCAAGGAATTTAGTCAGGTCATCACAATTCTCCATAAATGTTCAATGGTTTTAATCTGCTGAGTGCAAGGGTCAATGCAAATGAAACATGTGTTCCTGGGGCCAGTGTTGCATCACCTGTGAAAAATGAGGGTGTTCCATTATCTTGTTGGAACAAACAATCTTCACCAGTAAGCATTGTAAGCATAATGCAAGAACTGTGGGTATCACACCAGTCAAGATGGGCACCAGTTTTACTAGTGGTGCTTGTGATTTTGAGCACATCTCACATCATTACAAACCTACCATCAACTTATACAACAACTTACTGCTAGGCTGGATCCATAGACTCACATGATCTCCTCTACACATGGTCATACCCATCTTCTTGAAAGAGCTAGAAATGTGATTTTTTTGACCAATCAACTTGATTCTTGTCTTTCAATGACAATGTTTTCTAATTCAAGTAATGGGTTGTAACCACTATAGGATATGATCTGATGCAACATTTTCCTTTGTCGGATGTTTATTATCCTTATCAATTACTGTCAATCTTGTTTTTGCATCATCTGTAGGCACCCACAGTTTTCATGTACTTTTGATGCCTGTATAGACTTCACATATTCCTAGTATATCCTTTTTATTATTGCTAAGAAAATCTACAGTCGTGGCTACACTACTTCTTTACCAAATTACATCACACATACATACATCATCTAGCTGAATTCATGTTTAAAAGTGAGTGAAACTGAAATCATTCAATGTACTTCTGTCTCTGATTTTTAGAACTGACTAGAAGAGATATAACACCAATCTTTGAAATAAGATTATTTCCTGATTTTGAATTCTGAGAGGAAGTATTTTCATTATTAATTTTTCTTAATTTTATTATTGGTAGAATATTCTCCATTTAAAGTAGCTAAAGTATAAATTATAAATAAAGAAGCTTCTGAGAAGACATGAGCTCACAATCTATTTCTTATAAGTTCATTTTTATGAACGATGCCATAACCAATTCCATCATGGAAGACTATAGTTAGACAGAATCATGAATACACAATCATATTACCAATTCTCTAATTTAATGATTGCAGATTATTCAACTTAGAAAGTTATAAAATATAACAGTGCCTTAATTTGTTGTGGGAATGGCAAGCCAGTCATAAATCATGTGTGTAAGCTGTCTGTGAACGTATTTAGTTTTAGTATGCAAAGCTCATACTTGTAAATAAATCCAATTAGCAATTGGCAGGGTGTTATTTCTTGTGTCAAAGTCCTTGTCCAAGTATAGCAAGTGGAAGTTTACGATGCGGATGTGTTGAGCAGATGTGTCATTCCTGGTCTGTCAATGTGGTTGCTTTCCCTCTATTGCTTTTTAAATTTTTCTCTGTTTATATCAGTAGAGATAGGCTCAACTTGAATATATTTTAGATTCTCAATCTTCCATTTAACATTGAATCCTTATTTCTGTTATAGACAAGTGTATGGTGACAAGAAAGAAATACGACAACAGCAGAAATAGATTTATGTGATTTATTTCAATAGGAATGTGTTGTTTTGGGACAGCTACCTTGTGGTATAGTTCATAAGCCGGCTGCCGATCTGGGTTGATCTCTCATAGTAGTTCTTACTGGTTGGCATGGCGCTCCTCCTGCTGACTGCTGCTGACTGCCCAGACTGACCATGACAGATCTCTTCCCTGGCCTCCTGTTGACTGCTAGTACTTCCCCGTGTGACCCCTTTTATGGCGTTTTTTATGGCTTAACAGGCTCAAAAAATGACCCAAGTATAATTAGGGGGGAAGCATTTTTATTGGTCAAAAAATAAAAACACTTTAAAATATTATTTTATTTTTTGACGGGTTTGTCAGGCTTATGTGCAAATGACGATAATAGTCATTTTGTAACAGGGCCTTGTCCCGTTCACATCTGGCTCTCACTCTTGAGTATGTTAGTCTACTGCAAATCAGCCGAGATATGTCTTATTTTATTTTATAACATTTCTGATTTGGTAGTCTTGTTATTTTACTGAAACTATGTTCACTTGTTGTTTATGTTACAGCATCAAAATGTTTAAGTTAACTAATGCTTTAATCCTGGCTATATCTGTCCAAGGGTGAGGAAAATATTTTATGCTTTTGGAGGTGCAAAAAAAATCAGTTCTCAAGATTAAGTTATCAGAAGCTATTTTTTATTTCTACTTTATACTACTTAACTGGTCAAATTGTGTATAAGATGAAGTAAAGACTAACCAAAACTTCTAAAAATACTTTAACTTGCAATTCAAATAATTTAAGACTATTACTAAATTAAAAAAAAAGTAGTATAAAGAGTTGATATTACAAAAGTACCAATATGACTATAAATTCATGTTCTACCTACCTATATGCTAGATTGGTTAAGGTATTGCTTGTGAAGGATGTGTTCCTGTGACAGTCTGTGAGTTCAAGTTCAGGAACTGTTTCATTATTCCAATTTCATGCTACTTACTTTAATGGCCAGAAGTTTGTGATAAAAAGCAAACTATTAAGATGAAAAAAAAAATTAATTAAAAATTAATATTTACCTCCCCACCCTAAAAAATCTTTTAAAAAGGAATTTTGTAAATCTCAGAAAAATTTTTTTTAAATATAAACTAAATTAATAAAATTAAGGAAACCAAGTAGATTGTTTTCTAGAAGATTTTTAAAAAATTAAATTTAGCAAAAATGCAATTCAAACTAACCTGAAACATTTTTTTAAAAAAGCACAGAAAATTTAATTGTAATATCCTAATCCTTAATCTGATTAACCCCACGAAAAATTCATATTTGTAATAAATTGAAAACACAAAAATAAAATACTTACCTGCAAATTTGTTTCTTGTAATTTTCCTAAGAGCATAGGTTTTCCATTTTCTTTTGCAATTCTTTCTATAGTTGCTTGAGCTTTCTCTATATTTCCACGAGTGACATCATACCTTGCACTCTCTGGGAGCCACTATAATAAAGTTATATTAATAAATTGTAATAAACAGAAAAACATTACGCTTTGAAGTACAGTAAAGTTTGATATATACTCAAGGATCTTAAAACAAGTCAATCACATTTTTAAATCATTTTATTCATTTCTTTTTTTTAAATACATTCAAGGAGTTCCTATGAAATAATTAACTTGAAAAGAGTCATTGCAAAATCCAAATGCAACTTCAATCGTCACCTTCTGTATCCTTGAATCCTGTTCTTTATTGTTCTCTTATCTCAAAGCTTTCTAAGTTTCTTACACTCTCAGTAACTCATTGCATCTTAGTGGTTTTACTACCTTGCTTGGGGTGAAATGATTAAAAAAACGTATGGATTTCTTTGCTCAGCAGTGCTGAGACCAAAATTGTTTGTGTGGTACACATTGTTGAGAATAAGCTGTGCTGATATACAGTCACCATTTCTTTTTGATTTAGACGGTTATATTCACTTACACACAAATAACTTTAGGAAAGGTATGAATTTGTCTCCTCCTACCAGTTATGGGTTAAATTATAGGCCTTGTATCAGGAAAAAAAAATCATTGCTTTTATAAATAAAAGAAATTATACTTACAATCCCCCAAAATAATTTTTTGACATTAAATAATCCACAAAGGGTTGAAAAACCATAAAAACAAATCAATCAATCAATTTCTATTTAGGCACCAATGTCCAAAAAAAAAAATATACCTCTTGTCATATAAATTGTACACCTTCAGAAACCTGAAGAATGAATTAATATTGTTACATCAAATATCAAGTAGTTAGTGTGGATAATTATTGAATGGATTTGTTTTGACAATTCTATTCTGTCGCCACTTCTTCTCCCCCACCATGAAGTAACCGTCATTCCATTTTCTCTTCGATCATTCAAACTACGGGTGTGCAGAAAAGTGATTTGGTTTAATAAAAAGTATATTTTGTAGTAATAAAACATTTTAGAAAAATTATTCTTTAATAATTAGTCAAAATGAAAAAAAAAAAATAACAAAAATAAAAATTTATTCAAATTGAATGTTACAAAAAGACAGATTTATTGATATTTACTAAGCTTAGCATAGTCAGGCACAAGGTCACAAGTACGAGTCATCTACTAGTCCTCAAATCTCCAGCACATTACTAATCTACTACGTAAGCTTGCTAATCACTAATTCATCTTTGTGAGGGAATACTAAGGTTTACTAAACTTAGTTTAGTCTGTCATGAGTTCACAAATAGGAGGCACCTAGTGAGGAATGTATTCACTACACATTAGTAACTGTTTGTTAGACTAGTTTGTTACTTCTATATTGAGGTACTGTAAAGAACAGAATTTTCCTTGTAATAAAAATTACAGATTATTATTTTTAATTGCAACAATAAAACTAACACAATTGGTGTAAAAATAAAAGTAATACAACTCTCATAAAACAAATATATTATTGAGAGAGATTGTGAAATGAAGGGTAGTTTTAAAAAGCAAAATTTGATTTTCTGCACAGCTGATCTTGTATCTTGCATCAGTAAGAGCAGATATTTAACTAGGTTTTTCTGAGGCAAAAGAGATGAAATTTTGAATCTTACTCAGAGATTATCTATTATTTCTCATCTCATTGCTGTATATTGATGGCCTAATTTGCAATAAAAACCTACTAAAAATTAAAATGAAAGTAAATACTCATCAAAATTGATTGTAATAATAATAATAATAATAATAATAATAATAATGCTTCAGGAGTGTGACTCATATTCCTTCTTGGGCTAACATTTTTTGCTGAAAATATAATCTTCCATAAAAAGATTATGTTGAATCAATTGCTAGGTCTGCTGCTAGGAAAGTTGGTTCACTGTGTTATGCGAGACAATTTTTTTGCTTGAATCTATCCTATATATTTATAAATCTACCATTTGTCCATGTCTTGAATATTGCTGCTACATATGGTCTGGTGCTCCTACTATACATTTAGAGATCCTTGATAAAATTTAAAGAATCTGCAAAATTGCTGATCCTGATCTGGCATCTCAGCTTCAGTCACTTTTCCACTGCTGTAATGTAGCTTCCCTGTGCCTTTTCTATAAATATTTTCATGATAATTGTTTTGATGAATTTTTCTCTATGGTACCTAGACTATATGCAGTATTAGATTGGTAACTAAGTCTCATCATTTTACAGTTGAAATGGCTAAATGTAGCCATAAGTTCTATGCTAAGAGCTTATTTTCTCTCACTTCTTGTTTGTGAAACTTTCTTCCAGCTTCTTGCTTTCCAGTCAAGTTTGATCTTCAAAAATTTAAATGCAATGTCAATCATTATCTTCTGTCTTCTTGGTTATTTTTCTATTGTTCTTGCTCCTTAACAATGTTTTTCCTTTTCTTAAAATTCTTTCATGCTCTGTAACCCCTCGTGTCTTAGTGGTTTTCTTGCATCGTTTGAGATTCATTGATTTAAAATAAAATAGTTGACAATACTTCATTTTATAAAAAAATAAAATAAGATAACTCTGTTGAAATTATGGATGTTGAAAACTGCACAGAAATGTTCTTATTTCAAAATGTCCATAAAAGATGTAAACATTAAGTTAACTTTATCAGTACAAGCACTGTGTGAATAATAACAACATTTAATTTTGCATTTATAAAGATATAATTGAGAAGTCTTTTGTTACCTCATAAGAATTTATATAAACATGACATTTTTGTTACAGGCAGTAATTCTGAAGTTAGAATAGTGGCCTCAATTCATGTTATTATAGATCAGTTCATTGGTAGCAGGCAAGTCAAGTTGGTTCACCATAATACCCAGAGACATACACAAAAAGTACTTCAACTACTACACTTTCACTGACATTTGTAGGTTTTATTATAAGCATCTGTGATATCAAGTCATATAAAATATTTATTGCAACAGAAGCCTGGTTACTTAGTTCTATTGGCATTGGCACTTTGTCTGGCAAATGGCTTTGCATCATTTCATAGCAACCCTGAAATACTGCAACTATTCTAAGCAACAAGAATTCATTGATTTCTTCAATGACAAAAATTGATTCCCACATCAAAATGACCTTCATGATTTTCAGATATCATCAACTGTCTACTATTCACATATCTATTTAAAATGTTTATTTTAATCAGGTGCAATATTTACAGAGAACTTTATTAATACTAATATTAGGTGTGTGCAGAAATGTTCCATCATTTTTTATTAAAATTAACTAAACAGTTTTCTACTGTGCATTCAAACATTAGTTTTTAAGAAAGATTGCTGGGGACTTTTGTACACACCTATTAATTACCTGCTTAGAAAGTTTGAAATAAGAGTACAATTTGAATAATTTTGAATGTTCAGACATAAATTTGCAAGAGACTGTAAGTGTTTTCTTGAAAAATACAATTAAGACTTTGTAGAACAGGTTAGAGTTTTTCCACCCAAATACATATATTTGTTTACAACAGAATCTAATAATACCCATTGACCAGACAGTGGTATATGTTACTGAATCAGTCTGAATAACAAAGTGGCTTCTAGGTTGTAGTGCTGTGCTTTGAAATTAAGAATTTATGATTTTTCATTAATAGATAATCAATACCATGATAAAATTTTTTTAATTCAATGTCAATCGCTATCTTTTGGCTTAATTCTTGTTCTTTTAATGTTCTCAGTCTTTAATATTTTTCTTTTAACATGTTCTTTCACACACTGTAACTTCTTGTGTCTTAGTGGCTTTATTGCCTTGCATGGGGTAAAATGATTAAAACAAGGAATAAATGAGAAAGACAGATTTATGAATGCCTAAGATGCATGTCAAGCCATTCTTGACTGATGACAGGTTTAAATATGTTATTACTATTGCTATTAATTTTCATCTTTACAGAAAGTGCAGTAGTGTATTTTTTTGTTACTTGATCATGTAGAATTATATTTCTAGGATAAATATAATAGATATACCAATTATTTCCCCTTTTGAGATTAGCAGTTAAAATATGATCTACAATATTTCTTCATAAGAATATTCTTTATATGCTATGTCCTTTCAGAGTGTGGGTGATCAATGCCCTTCACAGTTTTCTGCCTTCATTGGTTTAAATAACTTTCCCTTTGTTTTACCATCCATTCACAAACTTGTTATGTACATTACTCAATATTTCCTGCTTTTGTTGCCTCCAGTATGCTCTGTGAATGTTAAATTCACTGATTCTTTCTTCCTGTGGTGATGAAGGAGAAAGTCAATCTAATCTTGAAAAATAATTTTTGTTCTCTAAGCAAACTGTTGAAAAAGAATATCAGAATCAAGATCAGGTTGATTTCAGTAGGCCTCAAAATATGGTAATTGTTTGCACTTCCCTACCAGTCTTGACCAATCAAAACCTTTCTTAGCCCAATAAAAGAATTCTTTTTTGGACCACAAGATTGGTTGGCTGAAGAAGGTAATTGTGTGTTGCAAGTGATAATGATTTATGTCCTTGGCTTTTGCTGAGGTTGAACTTGCGAGACTGATTTTTGACCCTTGTAATTATGACCTTGGACTTTTTTTTTTTGATTTTTTTTTTATTGATCTGAGCTTCCCTGTTGCTATTTACTTCACTTCCTCATTACATATCCCATAATCCAGGATGTTTTTTCTTTAGTTGTTAGCAGTAGTTTCTTTGCAATTTTTATTCTCTTTAAAACTTCCTTGTTACTCATATGTTCTGTACATGGTATTCTCAGTATTGTTAGTAGAATCACATCTTTTTCCCTTCCAAGTCTCTTCTTCATGTGTGATGAGATTGTTCAACATTCATGGTCAATAGATTAGATACTGCATAGTAGTTCAGCACTATTCTATTTGTTTCCAAGGACATTTTCCTATCTTTTAATATTTTACTTAGTTTCTGATGGAACAAGGAAGATTGCAGTGGAGACGAGGAAGCATGGTTCCTAACGCCCCCAACGTAGTTACATGACGGAAGGTGTTCTCTCTGTGTGGAAGGCTTGTTGGGCACCTCCCAGTGTGTGGTTGGCTCCGTGTGGCATGTGGAATGCTCAAGAGGAGAGCAAGTACAATTACGAAGGGCTGGGACAATGAAACAAAAGATTCCCTTCTCCAGCGCATGGTGTCTGAGACCGTGGATTCTGTGCAGTGGGATGATCCAGCCCATGGGGAGTGGTGTGTGGATGCCCGGGAGCTGAATGTGTGGGTCAGTGCAAGTTCCCTGGCAAACGGAGTAGCATTAGAAAGTCATGAGATGGTGCTGGAGGATGCTTTCTGGTTGCGACCTAAAGATGATGCTCAGCACATCAACCTGGCCGAGCTAGATGCCATGTTGAAAGGTGTCAATCTAGCACTCCAGGGGCAGAGCAAGACGCTACACCTAAAAACAGATTCTGTTGCACTCTTAAGGAGCTCGTGGAAGAGTATCAGTTGACCGTGGATGTGGCACTGGTCCCTTCGGCTCTGAATATAGCTGGTGGACTGACAAGAGTACTGCAGCAATGGTTTGACGCAATGAGATATTTAATGGACCCAGGCCAATGATTGGCGCCACCCATGTGGACGAACTAGATGCAGATCAAATCATGTCCATCCACAGGAACAGTGGTCACCCAGGAGTGCAGCGTACTACCTGCTTCGCTAGGAGAGTCTGCCCATCAATGACAAAAGCAGCCGTTAGATCAGCTATATGGACGTGTGAGGAATGTCAGTCCATAGACCCTGCACCAACTCGCTGGAAAAAAAGGAAAGCTTGAGGTAAGCGGAAACTGGCAGAGACTTGGGATGGATATCACCCACCATGGTGCCCATCATTTCCTAATGCTGACAGACTGTGGCCCGTTGTGTTTTTCAATCTGGAAGCAGTTGGCAAGACAAGACTCGGCGGCCGTCATTCGCCAGCTGAAAGAAGTATTCGTCAAGTGGGGCCCACCCCATGAGCTACTCATGGACAACGACCCAGCTTTCTGCAGCAGGGAATTCAGAGCTTTTGCACGCTAGTGGGGAGTCAACTTGCGGTTCCACTGTGCATATGCCCCAGCTAGGAATGGTATAGCAGAGCGATGCCACTGCACAGTAAAACGAATTGGGGCCAGAATGCGCTGTTCCATACTGGAAGCCGTCTACTGGTATAACGTCACACGAAAAGACAGTACATCACCCCAGACTGCGCCCGCCAACATGATCCACCGATATGAACTGAGGGTGAAAGGGATTGATGCCCTAACGATGTCTTTAGACCCCGGGCACGGCTCCTACCAGATCGGAGATCACGTGTGGGTCAAGGCGCCAATAAGTCGGTGCACCACCAGGTTCAACAAGGGTCGGGTGATGAAAATAATCAGCCCACAGTCATTTCTGGTTGATGGAATACCCCGCCATGTTAAGGATCTACTCCTGCGCCATGGTTACGGTGCATCCAAGGAAGATTCCGATGACACATCAGAAAGTGGGGCGGAAAGTTTGCTGCTTGACGAAGAAAGTGTGGAAAGCGTTGATCCACCTGAAGGGGAATAGAAGCAGAGCCCTTCTCTGACAATCCACCCAGAGGGGAAGCGAGATCATAATAACCTTTGTCAGTAATGTTTGCTTTAATTCTTGATCATTAGTCTCCTTTATTCCAATTTTCAATGCACAGCAAAGCTTGAGTGTTGAAACTTGTTGTAATATGTTTTGAGTTTAAAAATTGCAAAATTTTGCATTTAATAATAAAGTTTTATTGCACCTACCACCAGAAATTGTTAGTGCAAAAGAAATAACTAAATTTATGCAAGGGAGTGATGGAGGAGTTGTAAATTCAGGGGGAAGTTAAAAGAAAAACAAAAACTGTCGACATATAGCAAGTTCAAATGCAGTTGGTCATAAAATACAACCATGATTTTTTTTATATTACCATCAGAATTTGCAATTGCAGTGAGTAAAAGTTGTGATATAATTATTTGATAAAATATTGCTCATAATATAATGTTACATAAACAGTTGATATCTAAGTATTAAAATCACTTGGTTTGTATGAGGTCATTATGAACAATTGTCATTCAACTAAGATATATTTAGAATATGGCTGAAGGATAAGTATAAAAAACCAGCATGCAATGTGAAGATCTGTGAAAAGAAACTGTAAAATTGTCAAGAGCAGAGGTACAGTATAAAAATGCTTGCACCAAGTCCGAAATTTTCACAATTTAGATTTCATGATTAGTTATCAACATTGTGAACAAGTCAATAGTGGTGTCCCAGAAACAGTTTTGAGAAATTAATCAAATCTGATATGAAATAATGATAGCAACTTACAGAACAACAAGCAGAAAATATCAAGAGTGGCAGAGCAGACAATCCTAAAAGCCAACGCCAACCAAGATAAGGCATAACTAGTAATGCCAAAAGAACTTCAAAGCAGGCGCCAATTGCCCAAAAGATCTGGAAAGGAAGAATAATAAAGATTAGGGTTTTGAAACAAATTTTTTAAAAAATTTAAAAAAGAAAATACTTTCTCATCTCTGGCAATATTCTGCTTTTTATTTATAAGTTAGTCTTAGCCAAAATAATTGAGTTCAAATTCTGGTCAAGATAATTTTTATTCACTTCACATTAAAGAAAAGGCATGCATCCATTTCTTTAAGTAGGCCAGTCTGCTGCTGGTATCATGTAAATCACAAAATGTTATATACAATATGGAGAGATTTATGAATTGAAGTGTAGTACTAGATTGGCTGCTAGGTTTCACCATTTTGTTGCTGAAATAGCTTGATGTAACTATGTTCTATTCTAATAGTTTCTTCTCTTGTCTCTTATATTTCTTAGCTGTAAAACTCTTTTGGCTTGTTGCTTTCCTGTAAACTACAATCTTCAAAAATTTAAATGCATCATCACTTGTCATGTCTAATTTTGATTGCTGGTCTTTTATTGTCCTTTCTCCTCAATAATGTTTTCTCAGTTTCTTTCACTCTCAGTCACCCATTAAATCTTAGTGGCTTTACTGCCTTGCTTGGGGTGAAATCATTTTTTTGAAAATTCCCTTTGTCTCAAGAAATATAATGAAGGATCAAACATGGTACCATGATCCACGAACTCAGAGGATAAATGGACTTTAAGAAGAAAAGGAAAGTATTTGAAGGTCTACAATAATAGCAGATAAAATAGTAGCATCTGAAATTAGTTTTAGAATTTGGGATATTTTAAATGAAATCACAAACTATTATTGTTGTAATTTTACTGAAAAAATTTAAAATCAGAAGTTTCATATAAATTTTGGTGTTTTGCAACTGAGAAAACTTACTTCAATTAATACAACACATCTGGCTCGACTACTGCTTGGAAGAAACTCTGCATATAACGTCACACTGTTGGAAAAATAAAAAAATAAATATATCAGTAATCATATTGGGTATTAACATTTAAAGCTCTACAAAAGAATGTTATTGAAAGTTAAAAAGAATATATATATATATATATATATATATATATATTGAAAGATGGCATCAAATTAAGAAAAATAACATACTGATATGAAGTTGTTTCTAAAGATTCACAGACTAGGCCTAAACTTATATAGGATTATCCTAGTATTGTTTAAATTTGGCCACCATCTCTTCTGAAATAGTCTCCTAGGGAATATACACAGTGTCCCATTGTCTCTTCTAGGCCACAAAATGTCATGAGTTGGGAAAAAATTGCATTAATGTGATGCATATTCATTTTCTGTGAGGATCTTTTGTCAGGGTATAATGGATTCCAGTTTTGTGAGAAATTATCAATTGTTCAGCAAGAATCTTCATGTAGGAATTCAATTTTTACAATATTTTCTGGTGTTTTGCTGGTTTACTCTGAATGCTCTTCATCTTGGACACTTGCTTGGTCTTGATATGCCAGTCAATAAGATTTGATCGAAAGAATGTATGCGAAAAACCTGATAAAGCATTTTGATTCTGAGTGTCTGGTTAACAGATTTGCTAAGTTTCATGCAAAATTTGATATGTTGATGCAGGCATGTCAATTGAATTTGTCAGCCATCATAGCAATGACAGTGGTTTCAAAACCAAACCAAAACCTCATATAGTAAGAGAACATCAGTAGATAGTATAAAGTCAATTGACAGACTGACTTAGCTAGCTAGGTACCAATTGTGCATACATTTTCACTGAATAGTTCAATAACAGTACATATAGTCTGGGAACTTTCCAATACCATATCATATAAGATATATTTTTCCTTTTTTTTTTATACACATCAAACCAAAAAGCATTACCTCAGTTATTCAAGTTTAGATTTATTCCAAAACTCTTGTGGAGTTAAGATATTGAATTAATATTTTGGCAATGGTTTGTTTTTAGTTATACTGAATTTTGTCTTTCATGAATTTATGGTTTAGATCTAACTTGAATTGTATATAAACATGTTTTTCAAAAAGAATTTAAAAACTTTTCAAATTTCCATAGACAGGCTGATATCTCACAAATTTGGTTGAGATTGGTACAGGCATTCTAAAATATAAATAAATATACATGGTAGGCATTAGTCTGATATATAAGAGTGTATAATATTTCTCTTATTAATATTCATGAGTGAAAACAAACATTATATATTAACTAAACTTAGTTTATTCTCGTACAAAACCAAAAGTGTTGGGGTATCAAGTCAGGACCTAAGTCACTGTATGGTAGTAATAATTTGCATAATAAGTTCACTAACCATCACTCAAATACTTAAAGAGTTGGTTTAACAGACTATTTTATACACACACATATGTTAGAATATGTTTTTCTAAAAATATCGTCAATCTGGGTTTTTCTAGAAGGTAATTTTCTTTAGGCAGTCTTTGTAATTTCCGTGCTCAATATTGAGAGATAGAATATTAATAATAAATAAAATTAATAGCTATTCATCAGTTTTGTAGATCTTGCAATCCATTCATCAGGAGGCAAAAAAAATTGTACTGAGGAGTAATGTTGTCAGATTTGCCTAATAGAAATACAGGATACAATGTTCAACCCTGATGAGTGGATTTCATCTATCAGGTTGGAAAGAAAGTCCTGTCAAATTTTTGATATGATGACTTTGAGGATACTTTTTCAATACCTACAATGAAATAACCATTCATTTTAACATTCAATTTATTTTCTTTCTTTGCAGATTACTTAATAACAGAGTGAGTAAATTTTGTATCAGTTTTACTCTTTTATAAGGAGTTTAGATCATACTTATATCTGTCTGCTGTAGGAATTCAAAAAAGGTTTCTCAGCAATGAAAGTGATAAGGAATATACATTCTATCTATGGAAATATAAGCTTTAAGTATCCAGGCATGGTTCGGCCAGTTTTGATCAGTAAATGTTTCACTCAAAAATTCACCTATTTAACTGTATTTGAGGAAAAACTGAAGCAATCTGCTCAAGAATTAGCAAAACAGTTCAATACAAGTCACATTTCAATCATAAAATACTTTTATGAAATTGAAAAGTGTCTAAACTTGGGTCCCTCATCATGTGACTGTTTCTTAGCTTAATTAAATAGTTGAATAGAAGACTTGCTGCAGAACCTTTCCTGTGTAGAATCCTCACCACTGATGAAAAGTGGGTTCTCTATAATCATATCCAATGAAAATGAAAATAGTTAACATCCACTGGAAAAGGAAAATCCATTCTCAAACTAGGACTACACCCCAAAAATTATGGTCTGTATTTGGGATAGAAAGGGTGTTGTTTATAATCAAGTGCTAAACCAAAATGAAACACTTCATGTGGAGAAGTATTGTAATCAATTGAAAGCATTGCAAAAAAAAAAAAAAAAAAAATGCAGTAAAATCAACCATCATTGTTTAACTGTAAAAGTGTGTTACACTTACACAATAATGCAAGACCTATTATTACCTGAGTAACTCAATAAAAGATTGTTACACTAAATATGGAAGTTTTTACCTCATTCCCCTTACTCTCCATCTGATTATCTTTGCCACATTTCATTATTAATTGTGAAGAAACCTGAAGAATTTTATACTTGGTGGATCAACAATCTGCTATATAGATATGATTATATTATTGATAATGAGGTGAGACATTACTTTGATTAAATATATCAATTGAGAGCAAAGAAACATCTGTTCCTTTTTCATCTTCTGATGCAACAGAACTTTTCTTTCAACTTAATAGGTGTGTCTGTATGTTGGATGGATGTATTAGGATGCCAATAAAACCAATTACATTATCAATATTGAAATTACATAGTGAAATGTCAGTGCTTTATTAAAAGCACTTGCCCCACCCACCAAATCAAACTTCAAAATTAGTTAGAGAGAAATCAGTATTTCTAGACATATGCTTTCAGTTTTTGAAAATGATGAACAAGGCAAAAGTAATAACATGTTCAATAGACAACCATCAGTTAATTTTGCAGAATTGTTTTTACATGAACATCATGTCAGTTACGCCATAGCAATAAGAGTGTATATCATAAATGATAACAGAATAGAGAAGAAAATTTTGTTTTTATGCAAATTACATTTTATATCAGTTGAACAGTGATACCTTTAAGGCATTTATTATTAGCACTGTACTTTTGTGGGGAATAGGTTTTCAAAACTAGGAAAGAAATAAGGAAATAAATTGCCTACATTCCTATATAAGAAAAGAAACTTCATGTGAGCAAACATTTTAGAACAAGCAGCTATTTAGAAAAAGTCAAAATGTCTAGAGTGTATTGAAAATCTCTTAAAAACCTTTTCTCTTTTCCTGATATCACAGTGCAACATCTTTTCCTTTTTAATTAAAACAAATAATTGTGACTTGCTTTAACACACACACACTACTTATATGTTATGCTGAGTATACATGTATATATCTCCATATATTGGCTAGAAATATTTTTATAATAAAAATAAACATATTTCTAGCCAATCCCTATAGGGAGATATATACATGCATACTCAGCATAACCTATAAGTAATGCATGTTAAAGTAAGTCAAAATTATTTTTTTTTAATTAAAAAGGAATTAGAATTTCTTGCAAGATATGTAGTCAATTTTGATTAGATATCTTGTAAGAAAGTTCTTTGTTTCAAAGTAGCTGAGGAGTAGGGTTACCACATTTGTGAAATAAAAAAATGCATAACAACCTAATTTGCATATATATATATATATATATATATATATATATATATATATATATATGAGCTGAAATAAAATTATGTTGCTTGGAACAAATTATATGCTAAAATATACAATTATATTTTAGCATATAATTTGTTCCAAGTAATAATATTATTTAATATTTTTAAAAATAAATTGAAAAATTTTTCATTCAGATGAATGAAATATTTCGCAATTTATTTAAAAAAAAAAAAAATCTTAATACAGGTCATTTGAGATATCTTGATAAAAATCAATACAAACAAGCCACAGGGCAAAGTCATTAAGTAAAAGACATATCCTATATATCTATATATATATATATGGAATTTCTAATATTATTCATGATGTATTTCACAAATGTCATACACTAACAGACATTTTAACTACTACTACTACTACTACTGTATCTGTGTATGCATGTGTGTGTTTGTGTGTGCCATGTCCCTTCAGAACATTGGTGATCAAGGCTCTCCACAACTTCTCTTTTGTTTCTCTAAGTAATTCTTGCACTTTTACAGCTATTTTTAATCTTTGTTCTACTATCTGTCAAGTGGGTTAAAAGTTGTTTTCCTTTACATCTTTAGCATTCAATGTGCCCTGTAAGTGTTACATTTTCCAAGCTTTCTTTCTTCACTATGTCTTAATATTTCTGATTATTAGTAGCAGTTTCTTTGTAATTCCTATTCTACTTCAAACTTCCTCACTTTTCTCATACTCATGGTATTCTCAACATTCATCAAGAGAACCATATCTGTCTATTCAAGATTTTTTTCTTTATCTGTGACTAAATTGTCCAGCATTCACTGCCATATTAAATTATACAGTTCAGTTCTCTCTCCTTTGTTTCTAAGGACAATCTTCAATTCCTTAATACCTTGCTCAGTTTCAGAAAAGCAACCTTTACTAGTCCAATTGAGATCACAGTATCTCATTTTCCATTGTTTGTTACTATGCTATCTATATAAATAAATTTCTGTTCTGGTTTGATTTTTACATCTGATATGTAACAAATAGCTTGAGTTTTCCTTTTGCTGATAACCATGTATTCCTTGTTGCTTGTAAGTTTGGTAAGTCACATGTCCAAACAATTTAAACTCCAAAATCACAAGTCAATGCAATCATTGAAAATTCCTCATGTAATACTTGCTTCTAGAAATAAAAAAAATCTCCTACCAGACACGGTTTGCTTTTATAGTTTTGGGAGTGTGTGAATAAGCAAAATGATAAACAACCATTAAACAATTATGGTAATTCAATCTGCCTCTATGAACCTGGATAACTCTGATGGTAGCATAAAGAAGGTGATAAACCATCAAGCAAATTCCATCTTTCAGTCTCAACTCTTATGTAGTTTTTTTTATTGATGTCTGCAACATTTGCTTCTCCTGTGATTGTCATTACTACTATAATCTTAAAACTAATAGATAATCCTTTCTTCTTGCTTTCTTCAATTACTTTGTCTAATAGTTTTTTTAAGTTTTCTTTCTGTATCTGCAATTAACACAGTGTCATCTGTAGTGCATATATTGTTATGGTTATATCTACTGATAATAAACCATTGGTCTTCTAGTTCTTTGTAGATCCGAGGTTAAATAAATTTGGTTTGTAAGTACATCCTTGTAATACTCCTTTTTCAATTTTTGCATATTCATTGCATGCAAGCCATTTTTCCCAGTACAGGTTTTTCTTCTATCTTACTTCAGGACATGGATGAAGAAAAAAAACTTCCTATACATTGTGGCCCTTAGCAGTTTTTCTCCCTTTGCTAATGCTCCCACCCAATGTTCTGTGATCCATTCACACAAGCTCATCCAGCATGTGGCCCACTTTCTTCTCCTATATCTTGTGATGATAAATATTTGCACTTACCGGATTTGAAGCGTCCAAGATGTTTTGCTGTTTTATGATGGATATGTGTATAAAACCAAGCTAGTCACTTCGTCAGCTACATACTTTCCTCTCGCAAGATTGGTCCAAGAAAAGTGCATTCTCCAACATTTGTTTATTTTATGCTGCTTGGCACGATTTGTCTTGTGGTGGTCTGCATGCTGATTGGTCAAGCTGGGGATTCTGATTGAGAACAAGGCCAATGGCGATGATTGGTGCGTTGACTGTGTTTTTGGTTAATAAAAACGGTCTGGGATGTGCACTGTTATAGAGTTTCGTATTAAATTATGACTGTTTATTTTTGTCTGGAAGCTGGACACTAGCTTTGAACCTTAGAGTGAGCGGTGTAATTACTGGTGTCTACCGAAACATGGGAGGAACACACTGAATGTCAACAGATCTCTTGCCCTTAATATGCCCTGTGAGGGTTAAAGTTTCCAAGCTTTCCTTTCTCATTATGTGTCCAAGGAATTTCAGTTGTCTCTTCTTGATTCTGAGCAAAAGTGTTCTTTTTGCTGCCATTTTCCTTAAGACTTCCTCATTGCTTACAGATTATTTAATATCTTTCTTGCATAGATCAAACTTTCTCACTATTCCAAGGAGTTCTTTATGCTATACTTTACTAAATACTATTGTGTAATGTATGAAACAGGAATGTATCTTTCAGCACTTCTGCTTGCTTTGACAATATTCTGATCATAAAAATTTTATTTCTTGTTCCAGTATTTTGAACAAAGACACACAGTTCTTTCTCCATTTCTGGTATAATTCTGCTATGAGCTTTATTTATTAGGACTAATTATTAGTTTTTGCTGATTGCAACTATTTATACTGTACAGAAAATAATGCAATTTTCTGGCCTTAGTAACAAATTCTATATATTTTCACAAAGTGGTAATAATTTATGATTACTACTGGCAAATGGGATTTGGTTATTACCTAATAAACAACACCTTGATATTTAAAAATGACAGTGCTCATGATGAAATGTGCATTTGCTTCTGAGAGACTTTGAGATATTTTAAAAGATCCAAGTTTTCTTACTGGATAGCAAGTGAAGACAGTTCATAGATGGTGATGAAAGTAAGGATTGTCCAGGATTGGTTGATGAGATATTTTTACAATGTAACAATATTTAACATGGCATACAGACGAAAAGGGTTAAAAAAAAAAAAAACGATCTTATTTTTTTTTATCAGAAAGGGATTCATTTTCCCAGGATATTGACAACAGGTGTACAAATTCTGTTGAAAAAAAATACAAAATACAATTGTCACTATCCAGTGAGAGACAGCTGGCAGGTTCAGGGGCCAGAGGGGCCAGAGGCTAAAGTCAACTGTTGAAAGGTGTCAATGTCTACGTACTGGGAAAATTATTAACCAAAGAAGAAAATTATAATTGTGAAAACATACTGAGCAATTGAGGGAGACATCAGGAAGACTGACATCATATAATGGCTCCTCCCAGAGGAGGTAGGGGATCTTCCAAAATTGGAAGCGTGAAACAGAGAATGAAAGAAGGAGACTGGTTGAATTTTAGGAGATTTGCATAAAACCTCCTTATGTGCCTGTACCATACCAGTTGGAAGGAACACGCATAAATACAAGTGCCCATGGGGGCTAAAGTAGTTGAAGTTGCAGTCTAGAGTTGCAGCGAGTTACACAGACAGAGAGTTAAGAGATTTTTTTTGCCATTACGCTGATTGGCCAACCTAATGATGATAATAATTATCTGCTGAAGAAGAAAAAAAAACTCCGACGATATCCTTGTGCTGTCTTTGAAAGTAAAAACAAGAGTACTTGAAGTTAAATTCAGTTGTCACTGAAGAAAGACTGACAATAACCTTGTGCCATCCTTGAAAGTACAGTCAACAGTACTTGAAGAAATCCAGTTGTCAAGTCTAGCCATCCTTATAGGAGTTAGCCAAAATTTTTCGTTCTGTCATCAAATATTAGAAACGGGTTTGGAAAAGAAAGAAAAAGAAAAAAGAACTCTAAATATTTTTTTTATTTTGATATAAATATCATCTAGTAACTTATCTGGGCATTGCTTGTTTTATTTTCATATTCAACTCCTTGGTTTAGCTTGGTTGAGATACCCCAGTGATAATTCGGCTTGACTCTCTTAAGATCAAAAATCACAACATGGGTAAAAGAGATCATAGTTGAAGAGGTCAACTTAAAGACCAGCTGCAGTGTCAAACACCACCACCAACCAACGAGTGTGGGTTGACAGCTTGTTCTCCAATACCAGGATCGATCCTGACAAAAGACAGCAGGCTGCTGACCCAGCCACGCCACAACAATATGTCAATCACACATTCATATAGATACTGTATAGGAATTTCAGGGATAAAAAAAGAAGGAAAAAAAAAAGGTGACTTTTTTCACTGGAAAAAAAAAAAAGAAAAGATAAATTCAATCAAGAAACAAAAATAGTAGAAGTAACCCAATTCCAATTGGTTAAATCCCAATTGGAACATAAAAATTAAAAAGTAAGTTTCGATTGACCTGAAGAAATCTTTTACATTTATAAATGTATATGAATTTTAAAAGCTTTATGCAAGTAACATATATTTACTGTTTTATTTATATAAATGTATAATGAATAAACAATTTCTAAATGAGCCATTCTGATTAATAAAATTTAAATCATATATCCCAAAGAAAAACTGAAGATTTATTATTTTAATTGCAATCTCTAACTCATGAACAGACATAATTTTAACTCAAGAATTTTCTCCATCTGGTATAGAATTAAATTATATGATGGCTTCCTCTTTCAAAAGAGTTTGACAACTAAACTAAACTTTAAATAAAAATCCATTTTTTAAAACTTTTGCAATAGTCATAGATTTTACTTATATACTTTAGCTATAAATAACTACAAGATATTTAATTGCTTAGCAAAAGTAAATTAAAAGATTTACAGTAGATTTGTTCATATTTTTAGATGATTCTTATATTTATCAATATTGACACTATGACATGACAACTAGATGCAGAATGCCCAAGAGATTTTACAAGCCATGCTTGACTAAAGAACTTTAAACAGGAAACAGATGAATTTAGTTCCCGTGATGATTTGGACTGCAACATCACTGGTAGGAGACTAAATGCATGTACATATTATATAAAATAATGTATAGCATTGCGGCATTTCTTTTTCACTTGGCTTTCATGGAAACAACTAAAACCAGCTATTCAAAAATAAAAATACTATCATACAACCTGAGTATAATTCTGGTAAAATTTAGAAAATAATTTCAGCCAGAAAATAAAAGAAAAACATTCATGCTTCAACTGTTTGAGTGGCAATGATTCAAAACAAGGATCAAGTTTTGCAGTTTAACAAGTATTTAAATTTTCTCTTTACTTACGCTTGTGGGGCACCTCCAACACCGAATCCAACCAAACAGCGGAGAACTAAAATCCAAATAAATGTTGGGGAAAAAGCACTAAGAAAGCCAAAGTAGCAGGTAAAGAGTGATGACATTATTAATTCCTGCAATGGGAAAAAAAAATAAAAAAAATAATGAAAAGTTGTCAAAAGAAATGCTTTGTGGATCTATCTAGAAATTAAAATGGTTTTAACAATATTACAATAAATAATTTATTAATTAAAATCTGCATTCATGTCTTTAACTTTGATATATATAAATATATAGTCACTAGCAAAGTGCCTATAAAATAATGGTATTATTTATATATGGATTACCACTTTTGCAAAGTGGCTACAGTTCTGTTTAGAATCAAAGTGTTGCACCCTAGTATTTTGCTTAGAATTAGTATAGCATCCATGCTTAGGATCAAATTTTGCCCTCCTGATACTTTTTCATTGGAGTAGAGTATAGTATTTATGTGGTCTGTGAATATATATATTTTGATAAGAGATTATAATAAAAACATGTTGAAATTGTTACACAAAAGCTTTCATGTTTCAATACTATGATTGTGCTTCTTCAGACAATAGTAAGTAACTGGTGATTAAATTATTTTTAAAGAAATTTAAAAACAAAGTGTTACCTCTTTTCTGAAAGTTAAGGGGGTGCATAAGGTCAGAATTAAAAACAAACTTGTGGGTATGTCTTGATTACATACCCACAAATCTATTTTTAATTCTGACCTTATGTCCCCACCTTTAACTTTCAAAAAAGAGGTAACACTTTTTTAAATTTCCTTAAAAATCATTTAATCGCCAGTTACTTACTATTGTCTGAAGAAGCACAATCCTAGTATTGAAACATGAAAGCTTTTGTGTAGCAATTTCAACATGCATTTATTATAATTTCTTATAATAAAAATATAATAATGATATATTGCTCTACTTTGTATTAAGCAGTTTTAAAAAAAGTAAATGCTACAAACTGTGGATCTTTACTCCATCTGTTATTTCTCTCATTTGCGTATATATATATATATATATATATATATATATATAAAATCCAAAAATATTGGTGCAACGAACAGACTACCTGCCAAAAGACGTACAAAAAAAAAATAAATAAATAAACACAAAACCTCAGACAAAAAAAATTCCAAACTAGGAAAAAAAAAAAAAAAACAATAAGTAAACACCTACCTAAGCAGGTAAGGTCAATGCCTAGGCTCTCCAGACAGAGCCAAAAACATTTCACAGCATCAGCCGTCACCTTTACACACATTATATATATGTGGAACCTCGTTTAAAATTGAAGAAACTAATTTAATGTTAAAGGTGGGGACATAAGTCAGAATTAAAAATAGACTTGTGGGTATGTAATCAAGACATACCCACAAGTTTATTTTTAACTAATTTCTCTATTGAAAGAGTTATCTCCCATGCATTCTTTAGTAGTACAAAATTATGATAAGTGTGATAAGAATGTTAGGATAGAGAGTTATAAAAATGTCAGACACATTGGAACAGGATTTTAAATTTCTTTTTTCACCATTACTTTGAATTTGATTATACAAAATAACACTAAGCAACTTCTGGTAAGTTTAAGTGTGACATTTTGTGTCAGTCATAACCACACACACACACACATAAAAAAAAAAAAAAAAAAAATTCAGGTCATATTGTAGAGAAAATCCTGGTTTTGAGACTAAAAAGAGAAAATAATAGAAATTTAAGTAAAATTTTTGAAAACTAATATTGTATTGATTTGTTTGATTTTAATTTGTGCAGGCAATTAAAGAAAATGTTGACTGCTAATTAAAGAATCTACCAACTTCGAATGATGTGGATTTTCATGTATTAGAGGTAATGATGTAGGAAGTGATAACTGAAATTGATAAGAATGTATCGACAGTTTCTGATAAAAACACAGGGAATCAACCATAGAAAGAGACTCGAAAAGCTTAAAAATGTCAATAATAGGGTTGACTTTTTTTTATAGCAGAATTTGATAAACTTCAGAGTGTTTTAAATTAGATCTCTTTCTGATTCATTCTACATGTTGGCTGGATGTGAAAATGTTGTGAGGTTCAGTACTTTTGATATGAGTGTGTGTACATTTTATGGTAAATATTTATGGGCTCCTGGAACATTTATGTTCCACATCAATATTGGCAGAATCATGTGAGTCTGGGTATAATTGAGGGACATAAAACAATGAATTTAAAATAAACAGTAATTATATAAATGTACTAACAAAAGTAATTGCATGCATACACAATTGAAATGAAAGGAAAATACATTGAAACTATCTATAAGAATGTTTTTGTGTGTGTGTGTGTGTGATACACAAATGGGTATGTGTATGCAGACAAGAGCTCAGTTAAGAGAGGATCATGAAAATGAATATACCCGAGGGGGGGGGCATCTTACCTATGTGCAACTACATCTGGAAGCAAGAAGGAAAAATAGAAAGAGAGAGAATATGCTTGTCTTTTTATAGACTTAAATAATACCACCTAATGGTTTGGTAGTGACAAGTGGGGTAAACCACAAACACTAAGAAAACAAAACCAAAAATAAAAATGTTGTTCTCTGCACAGTAGCTCCAAGTATCACATCCAGCTCATAAAATAAATTCCCTCCAAAAATATAAAATATGATATAAAAGAAGCCAATCACGACCATTGCCACCAAAGAAAAAACATCAAGAAAAGATGAGTTTATGAGCCATCACATTTGCTTTTAAGAATGCTGCTCCTATCGACTAAAACAGAATTGCGACGAATGGGCAAGCTTCAATTAACCCATTACCAGCAAGATATCACTTCACCACAAGTGATCTTGGTCAACCAACCTAACATATGCATCAACTCTACCCTTCCTTTAAGTTATTTCTCTTGCCCACAAAGAGACATTCTTCTTACATCCTCCATATCAGCAGTACAAGGGATTTTATATTAACAAACTGACCTGTGAAATTTTTCCATTCTTTATTTCATATAGAAATATCATTATCATTCAAGCCATCAGTTTTTATTTATATCAAAATATTAGGTTTCTAGTTAAAATTGGATTAGTGAACTGTTGTCTTTTTGTCTTTCTATTTCCCTCTCACTTTCTGTTTGAAAGCATGACTAGCATACTAATATATAGTTATAAATTTATAGGTAAGCGTATATGGAGTTCCAAATGTGGGTATTTATATTGATAATGGTGAATTTAATTCTTCAGATTTTTTACATGATTGTGAGTTTAAACATGTCAATCAAAACTACAGCAGCATATAGTTCCTGGTCAAATGGTATAGTTGTAAGACAATGCTATACTAATAAACTATTCAGAGAATAAAAAAAATACAAATTTATGAATAGATGGCTATTTATTGGGCTATAAACTTTAAAAATTAAAGAAGCATGGGTATTGTCCATATCAGATTGTGTTTGGAAGAAATCTAAATCTCAATCTCCCATCTATTCTGATAATTAAATGTCTTGCTCTCAACAGGGAAACAAATAATGAAATGAATTTAACTGGTATATGAGTGTGTGTGTGTGTGTTATACTCCGCCACTGCAATTAGATCTCTTTCTGATTCACTCTGCATATCAGCTGGATGTGAGTGGCAAGAAAGCAGAACATAAAATAAGTCATTTTCTGCACATAGGCTCCAAGTATTACCTCCAAGCCACAAAACAAATCCTCATAATGAAAATAATGCAATAGCCAATCACAAATTTTCCTGCCAGAAAAAGAGATGACCCTGGGGGCTACCAGATTTGCTTAAAAGAAAACCCCTTTACACAACCACCTGCTGACATGCAGATGCACTATCGCCATAGTGATCACAACTCACTATCACCACTCCTCAACACCTTAACTTCAGGCTTTCCATGTTGTCACTACCATGACCCATCTTGTTGATAACATATTCAACTAGAATCCAACAGAGGTATTCCACTCGATCGATCAACCCCATTTCATTGATACCACATTCAACCTGAATCCAACAGAAACATTCCACTGAAAATGCTCTAGGCCTCCCTTGTAGTCACCACTGTGACCCTGTTTTGTTGATACCACATTCAACCCAAATCCAACAGAAACATTCCTCTAGACCCACTCCAGGCCTCCTTCATTGTCATCATCATGACAGTTTTGTTGATACCACATTCGATTCCAACAGAGATCTTCCAGACAAGGTTAGAGGACTGGCCAGAATAGTGTAGTCTTTATAAGATCAAAGGAACATGAATGGAGATGATTTGCCACTGAACACAGCATGGTGGGTCCTAGCTGTGACTCTCCAAGCTAGTAGCACTAAGGAATGTAACATTTCTGAATATCTGCTAAAAGTGAAAGCTAGGCAACATCTTGTCTGTGGGATAAGGATTACAGCATGAAGAATAATTCATCACACACAAGCCTGTGTAAGTACTTTTAGACTCTCTTGAGGCTGGACAGTGAGGATTTGGCAACACAACCAGCCCAGATATGGCAGCAATATTCCATTCTTGGTCTGAACTGACTCTTGTAAAGAGAGCATGGTAGCATGAGTTAGGTATTTTCTGGAGCAATACAATGAACTGAACATTTTTCTAGTATCTTTTGTGATGACGCAAATGTTACTAAGGTGGATTCTGCTATATTTCTTTTTGGCATGATTTAAAGGTTTTAAAGTAAATCCTGCACATGTGGATGGCTTTCTCCTGACAAAGACAAGTCTTTTTAAAATAAGTACATTTTGAGTTTGAATGAAATTTTTAATATTTGTAAAGATGCTTGTGATTCTTTCAAATATTTAGGTTTGCATTTGTCACAAGAAGGTAAATGCATTACTTTGTCAGAAAGACTGTAGTTAGTGTGAAATAATAACTCCCTTCACCCACTCCCTTCAAATTCAAGTGAGCTGTGGAAGAAAAGAGAAATAAATTTGCAAGCCTATATGAAATTTTCTTTGAACCAATGAAAACATTGCCTTCACAGAAATTGGCCAGTGAGTTAAGAAGAAGGAAAGGACTTCACAAGCCTACGTGAAATTGTTCTTGGACTAATGAACACCTTGCCTTCACAAAAATTAGCTGGTCAGCTGAGAAAAGGAAAGAAAGTAGCGGGCATACACAAAATTCTTTTTGATATAAAAGAGAAAAATTAAATTAATCAGAGACGAGTGTTTGAAGTCATATGAAAGGTTTTCAGTTACTCACAACCAGTGTTGAAGTACTTGTCAGTGTAAAAATTACTTGCCAATTATATTATTGGTCTATCTAGTACGTGACACTTCAAAGAATTTTCTCTCAAGAATCCAAGAAAGCCTAAGTATTTCAAACTATTTCTCTTCATCTACATTTGAACGTATGCAAACCATACATCCTTTCAGTGAACAGTGAACTCTTACCTTTGTCTTAAACATTTTTAATATTATTTTGTGTCAGATCATTTAATCTGTTTGATAAACATTTCCTCTTCCCGACAATATGTTAAAGCTATGGACTTTAAGAATTCCAATTTATTTTCCCATAAAGACCTACTGACAGTACTTCAAGCGTGTAATTTTGTATAAAATTCCTTATATTGTTTCATTAAAATTACCTGCATGTTTCCTCATCATCCTTCATTAATCTTCTTAGCATTGATAAATCAACTGTTCACTTTAATCCCTAAGTTTCAAGTCTCTATAAGACTATGCAGGAATATTAAACCAACTACTATAGATAAGCAAAAATTGAAACTTTAACGTCTACTGAAAAAAATCCAATCAAACATTAGACAGTAGTCAAGCATATAAAACTTTCAGGCATTGTTTTTTTATGTAGCTTCTGTTGTCTCTCAAATCAATAACAGCACAATTGATGACCTTAAGAGAGTAAACAAAATAATACATACAGTTAAAGTTAAATTATATTTTCATGATCTTGGAGAACAAGTTCAGTTATTGTCTACATACGTTTCTTTTGGGAAACTTCCAAATTGTCAAATTCAAGGGTTGGTTTTGTTATATTTTTGATGGAGGTTAATCCTACTACTTATCCCTATCACTTGGCAGAAGAAGAAAAAATTAAAAATAGGGCTTATAAGTATATTGCCTGGTAAAAAAGGGAACTGATTAGATTATTTTTTTGGCTACACTATATAGTGAATTAGCTAATAATATTGATATCTCCTAATTAAATACATTATTGATAATAAGGATCTGTATAAGACTGTATATTTAAAGAAACAAGCTACAAAAAAGAAACTGAACAGAGAACAAAGCTCTGAAAAATGTTAGAATGAGATGAGATTGCAGACATTGAATAGATTCAAATAGAAAAAGCATATCACAAACAATACATGTACATGTTTGTGTACACAGTATATTGTCACTTTTAAAACAGTTTTCATTTTTTTATTCTCTATATAGTGTTGATAAGTGTGACAGTCTCTGAATGGCCTGCAATATGCATTAGCAAGCTTGGATATCTTGTTACTTAGTAGTAGTATGGCAGCAGCAGTAATAATGTTACAATTATGAGGATAATTTTACAATATTCTATAAAAATATAAAAATAGACTTTATCATATAGATATAATTTCTGCAAGCCTGCTATCATGTGGCCATTTAGGATTAAGGAAGTTACACATGTTTCTTTTAGCTACTGTTGGTCTATGAGTCAACATGGCAAATATCTGCTTCCAACTAAGTCTGAAATTTTCTAAAGCATTATGTCACTCATCATTTGAGTTTGTTCAGAATTGTTGTTTCTGTCTGAAAAGTGTTTTCTTTCTTTGAAATATATTTTGTTTGTCCTTTGCCCCTTTTGAGAGATATATTGTTGGTTTTTAGTTTTCACAATGTATATCCTAAATAATAGAATAACATCAATATGAAGTGTGAACCTTTTTCATTGAAAATAGTGATCAGTGACAATAAGAGGAAATTTATTGTTCAAACTTAACAAGAAGCAAAATGTATATAAGATTGTCAATTTTATTATCTACTAAAAAGAACTTTCATACTTTAGTACAAAGATATAAGATAGGTGGCTATCAAGAATATTGTAATGGATATTAATTAAATGACAGTGAAAAAATTTTATGTAACAAGTTTCATCCTCTAAAAGGACTTCAGACTAAAGTAATGTTCTTATTGAAGAAATTATATATATGTAGAGGGAGGAGATAGATATAAATGTAAATATTGGTTATAATTATGCATCAAAGAGAAAATCCAAAAATGTAAAGATGCTAAATTTTAACATTTCTGATGTTAGACATGTCTAGATTCACAGCTCAGCTGATCTCATTGGACTTCTCAACACTTGTTTTTGTTGCTGTTGTTTTTAAATGTCATACATTTCACCTTTCTTAAATATTCTGTTATCACAATATAGGATATTTCAAAACAACAGAAGGAGTTTTTATATATTCTTTGAAATTGGTTACACTAAATTTTAATAGTCATGTCTTGCTATAGTAAAAACAACAATCTTGATTGAAATGAAATAAAAAATCTTAGCAACCTAGAAAAAGAATGCAGTGGAAGTGTAAATATTGCAGAGTGCTAAAGGTCAAAATAATTGTCAAATTTTGCCATGTAGGAAGATAAATAGTTTCCATCATTTTCTTGTTTACCCTATCTTAAAAAAAAACCCTTGTAATTTTTTATACAGATTATGCATTTTAAAAAAGCTAAGAGTCATCAAATGGCAAAGATCATCAAAAATGTGATGCTAACAATAAAAGCAACAAAAATAATGAGATCAATAGTGCAAACACTCATTTATTGAGTGATCAGATTAAGTGTCAGCATCTTTGTTTCCTAAAGAAAGAACTAAAATATGCAGTCTGTATCTGTTAATATAAAATTCTAACTTTTGAAATTTAAACCAATTTTATAAATAAAATCAAGACATAAGAAAACAAGCAAATTTCATAAAATTTAGGAAGAAAAAGTGTCAAAAGTTTTTCAGATTTAATAAAATAAAAAGACAACATAGAAAATGAATCATAGCAGTTTTTAATTCAGTTATTAAATACATAATTTTGTTGCTCATAGTAATTTTTTATAAGTATTGAAAAAAATCATTAAATATATGATTCTTATTTTTTTCAATTTACTTTGAGTTGCTTTTTATCACAATTCCTAAATCATTATTTCATGATCAACATGGAACAGAAATAAAGAAAAAAAAATGTCACTATCTACATCATGGTCATTTAATCTCTCTATTTAGCCTGAAATAACAAAATTACTGAATGCCAAAGATTCCATTTGTTCCTTGACCATAATAAAAAATATAAGTAACTAATTCAAAAAGCTTTAAAATTATTTCAAATCAAGTTTTGGTCATAGCTAGTAAAAACAAAAATTATGCTTTGTTTTTTTTAAGGTTTCAGTTTCCACTAAAAAATTTTTAGATTGGTTTTTAAATGTTTACAAATTACTATTCTTCATCAGTATCAATTACAAGGGAGTGCTGAAAAATTCTATGCCAGAACCATTCCCAGCAAATCACTTTTTTGATACTTGGCTATTCAAATACAGATTTTGAGAAGTGGGTCAGGCCAAGAATTTTCCAACATCTATTCATTTTACTGGGAAAACAAAATAAAGGCATATTGAAATGAAAACATCCTGCTCACCACTTTTCGGCCATATTTGTCACAGATACTCCCCCACAGACCAGAACTTGCCATCATTCCACAAAAGACAACCTGAAATAAACACAAACAACAATGACTAAAAGTCGGTACCTCACAGATTCACAATACCTAAGGTTTAAAGTGAATTTTTAAAAATGAAAAATATTTCTTGATGGTTTTATTTTAGTTTTGATTTCAAGCAAATACATTAAATTTAAGATTTCCAATAAGCAAAATATCTTCTTGTATTTCAAAACTAATTTAAATTGATTGGAAGGAGATTTTGTTTTGAAATAGCTGAAGTTTTTTATTTTTGCACCACTTTTAGCCACATGTCATCATTATTTATTAAAAAACTATTCCAAAAAATAAAATCTACTTTTCTGAAACTTTATTTGAGGAATATTAGCTGATTTAAAGTATAATTGATCTGATTGGAAAAAAAAAATTATTTTTTTCAAGTTTAAAATATTGCAGAAATGTATTTTTTTAACATGGCCAGTAGCTGTTTATTTAAGTTGTTAGGTGTTGACAACTTGATGACAAATGAATGTTTATCTAATGTTGTTCTACAAGGGTTCTAGTCATAAAGAATAATTGACGATTATAAATTGAGAACCTTTTACATATAATTTTTAAGTATTCAGTAATCTTAAAAATTTAGGAAAATATTCTCCATAATCTAATGATTTATTGAATTTTAGATACTTTGGCTTTAAACTTACTATAGTTATCTTATTTTCTGATAATGTTGTCAGGGTTCCCACAGATATGTGCAAAAAAAATGCAGGACGTTTTAAGAACTTTTCCAGGACTATGTTAAGAAGTTTCAAAGAAGGGAAACTGGTGCTTGCACTCACATGCACATACAAAGTGAATGTTCATCAATTTCAAAAACACAAACTTTGTGATTTATCTTTAAAAATTTGACAGATGAGATGTTCAAAGAAAAGTGACAACTGGTTCCAATAATTCATGTCACATGGATCAATTGAGAGCAGTGAAGAAATCCAAGTGTTGAAGGCTAAAACACAAATGAATGGAGACCTGATTATGTTGCACATTTTGTGTAGCATTCTACACAGTCTGGAGTTCTACTACACTTGAAAATTTTGAATTACGTTAATTCTTACTGCTACACATTTCAGCTATCTAGACTACTCATGGTCTGTAAATGTCACAAAAATTATTGATTGCTGCACATTTTCTGTGAATTTAAGTATAATGGTTTTAATGAACAGAACTACAAATAGAAATTTTCACAAAATGACATCACATTTTAGCTACCCCTACTACTCATGGCTTTTATTACACATGGCACAGAACACAATGATGTTAACATTTTTTTTCAGTTCATCTAGTTTAGCATTCAGCTCCTCTTCCAATTTTGATATCTCTATGGATTTTTCCTTTGCTGATCTTGACATAGCTTTGGACTTTGTGATGTGAAGTTCTAAGTCTGCTCAAATTTCTCCACATAGCCGTCAGCTGACTTGAGCAAAGATTGTGTTTTTTGGTCTTCAGTTCTTTAATTTTCATAAGCATTGATTTCTGTTTTTGTCCAGCTTCTTCCTGCCTTTTTGTTCTCAGCCTCAAGGTATTGGTTGTATGCTGTTCTAGCATTGGAAGCACTGCACAGAAGAGCACCAGTCATGGGAACATATCCAGCACATCCACCTATAGCCAAATAGTCCATGATAATGCACTGTGTGACCAGAATCTGCTGTTTGATATTGTCAGTGGAAATTTCCTTATTGACTGAAAAACCTTTTTCCAGTGAGGCCTGTCCAGGAGAGAGTACCAGCAATCTTCAAACAACTTTCCACAGTTTTTGATATTATTTGTTGCTAGACAAAGAAGAATAGAACAAAGTATCCAGATGGTTTTCATGCTTGCTGCAATTCATGAAGGCAATATTTCCAGCAGCCTCCTCCTCAAACTTTTTGTACTGACTGATGATGTCATCACAGTCAGACTTGCTGACTTATTTTCTATCCCGCATGTGAGAAAGATATTTTTTTAGACCGTCTTCTGCAGCAATTTTTTTTTCACAAGTGGATACAGTGTTCAGCCATGCAAGCAAACTTACAAGAGGGTATCTAAGAAGGAGACTTTGCTAAAAGTTTCTCAATGGTGGTGATGAATATGGTCTCTGTTGCAATTCTGCAACAGATCATTGTTGACATTTTCTTTTTTGGATAAATTTTGCATAGCCCTATCTGCCAGAAATTCGCATTCAATCTTTGTAGCCTCTTTCTTATTCATGTTTGTGTTTGACAAAATTCTTACAAATTCATTCAGTTTGAAAAATGTAATTATCTTTTTAGTGTGCTTCTTCCTTTACAAACCTTAACAGCTTCATGATAATGCTAAAAAGAACATCTAGGAAAGGAAGCAACAGTTTATCACTATTTTATTAGAAACAGTTCAATGTAGGTATATTCAATACTTTGCTAAAAAGAGCATACCCTAATGAAAAAAAGGCCCCAAACTTGATAAACAATTTTTTTGTCATTTAAATGTTTATGCTATTATTAAGAGGAAAGACCAAAGTATTTTTTTAATTTTAAATTTATTTTTTAAACCTTCCTAGCACATCCAAAATTTTAGTTAAAAATCGTTTTTTTTCAACAAAATTTACATAAAATCGATCATATCAGTCATTTTTGACAACTTTGTAAACAAAAGTGAAATTCTGCATTTAAAAATATTGTATATTTCAATTATACTTTTTTCAAAAGTTAATTTTAGGAAAATTAAAAAATTTAAAGTTTACTTAATGTAATTGGAAACAAACACTACTTAATTTTTTAGTAGAAAAAAATTTAGTTGGAAATAAGAGATTTGTTTTGGTGGTGTGAATTGACATTTACATCAATGCATCGACAACTAATGTCAGGGCAATTTATCGGACAGAAGTGACAGTATTTTCAAATTTTAAGTGAACCAGCTTATTTAACTTTAAGTTATTTAAGTAATTCTTAAAAATTAAATACTTTCAAAGTTTAATATTTTATTGATTTTTTTTAGATATCTTTATTTTAAAAAAAAAAAGTATGTCCAAAGCCTGTACTGTTCCCATCCCTAAAATTGACTCGAAAAAACAAAAAAATTAATAATTGCAGTATGTCTCACTAAAAAAGAAATAAAATTGATTATATTTAAAAAATGAAAAGAAAATATTTAGTGAAATATGTAAAAGAAAATTTAAAATTTTGAAAATGTGATGATGATGGTCGATCAATCAGAGAATTTGACACAAAATCAACACAATTTATATAGCTGGATCCTCACTATCAGGAGAAACAAATCTTAAAACATGTGAGATTATTTCTGAATTGTGCCTCTGTAGTTTTGCCGGAAACGTTTTTAATACATATTTGACATATTAAAAAATTATCTTAAAAATACAAACACTTCGCAGATTGTAATAAACTTTCAAATTTAAGATCTGTAAAAATAGATCTTTTAATAAGAGCATTTCCAGACATACACATATTCAAACTTAATTTTAAAATATTTAACAACTTTATCACATGGTGTATTTAAAATTGAATAAAATAAAAAAAAAAAAAATTTTGTAAAAATTTATTTTTCATCAGAACAATATTTTGGCTTTAGACAATAATGCCCTTAACATATATTATTCATAAAAGCCATTAAACGCTTTCCTAATTATATATAATGTCTTAGTTTTATTGGGTTTTTTAATTCAGAGCTAAATTTTTTAAAGTTCATAATTTTACAAAAAAAAAATGATTTATATTCTTCAAATCTGCATTTAATTAAAAAAAAATACACACATTTGAGTTTTTTTGAGTTTTCATAAAATTAAGGGTGGTAAAGATGTAAAAAAAAAAAAAATTTTACCATGACTTTCTGTAAAAACCAAACATGTCTAAAATAATTTAATTCATTTTTGAATAAGTTCTGAAAGTTTAATTAAAATCTGACAATTATTTGATTTTTGCAAGAATTTCCAAATTAATGTTTTTCATTTGAAAATAGCACTAAAAAAAAAAATCTAATCCTAAATATTATGCAACCTCTGATGTAAAAAAAAAAAAAAAAAGTAAAAAAAAAAAAATTTGCAACAAAAATTTCAAACATGCTAGAAAGAATTAAAAAATGTTTAAATAATTAAAAAAATACTTTGGTCTTTCCTCTCAACAACAATTTTGTCGATAAAACTTTGTTTTTATTAAGTTTGGGGCCTTTTTTCATTATGCTATGCTTTTGGGGGGGGCGAATTATTGAATATATATCTAGTTCAATGTTTTCTGAAACAGACCAAAATCTGCAGTTTCACTTAAATAAAACATTATTGTATTCATGTTTGACAGCACCACAGAGAGGGACTTGGTCTGGGGGCATTCTTCTGTTGTTTTTTTTTAAATTAAGTTCACAAATTTGATTACATCTGGCCAAATGTCTTGGAGTTGTTTCCATGTTTGTACATTTTGTAGCCATCTATGGCAGAAATTACAAAAGTAAAAGTGACAGGGTTGCCAACTTGAACTTTTAATATAAAGCCATAAATAAAAGTTTTAATATATTTCATTATTTTTTAACACTTACAACAAAACCTGGAGATACAGGTCATTATTAATCCTTTTTAAAAAAATATTTTTTTTTTCAATAATTTTCTTATTTTTCAAAGACACATTTGAAAATTTGAGACACATAAAAGACACATTTTTGTCCTAAGACACAAAAAAACACATTTTCTGTCCTAAGACACATCAAAGATCATTTTCTTAAAAAACACATCAAAGACACATTTTCTTGTCCTAAACTTTTTAAAGACACATTTTGTCCTAAGACACATCAAAGACACATTTTCTATTCTTTCATCAAAATAAAAAATGTTCACATTTAATATTTTGAGTCAAATTCTTTTTTTTAAATTTATTTTTGGTAACAATTTAGACAATGAAATATATGGATGGATAAACATTGACACAAGACTTTTTTAATAAATATATATATTTTTTTTAGCATGAACTTCAAATAATTTTTGACTAGAGATCAAAAGGACTTTTTTACTTTTGAAATTGATATGTTCATAAAAT